CACAGGTCATCCCATGAGGGGAGTGAAGATGAGGTTAGAAGGGAAGGTAGGTGCTGGATGGTTGATGCCTGAAATACCAGGCTGAGCAATTACCACTCTGTTCTTAGGCACTGGAGAGCGCTGGCAGGTTTGTGAGTTAAACTGAGGCAGCAGCTATGTCTGCTTCACTCAATTTCTGTCCGACACCTAGCACATCGTGGGCACTCAACAAACATTTGATGAATGGATGGATGGATGAATGGATAGGTGAAGTCTATTGGTCTGGCCTCTTTAAATTGAGGCCATGTACTGCATCTTTGCTAGTTTAGTCTGGATTTCTTTGTAGCTACATATTTGGATGGGACATTAAATAATTTTAATAAACATTTCTAAGCATGCATTCAGAGGTTCCCCTGAGTGATTTGCACTGTTGTTCGTTACTCACTGGCAGTTCCAGAATTCCCTTGTTGTCCTAGAAGAGGTTCTCTAGAAATTTCCAGACAATTCCCTGGACATCCAGACACTATTCTGAGACCTCCCATCCTACTGCTTTTTCAGCCTAGCACAGCTCCCCAGTTAGGTGGCAGGAGAACAGGTCCCACCTCCTAACCACAGGGATGAGCTCACAGTCAAGGCTGAGTCCGCTGGTCACTGTGATTGGTCCAAACATAGCTGTGGGATACAAGATGGCCAGTTGGGTCCTTCTCCAGCATGTTTTCTGGATGGAGCTTATGGAGAAGGGTCATCTTCCCTATCAAGTCACTAAACTGGAAGGGTAGGATTCAGGAACTGCCTGGGGTCATAAACTCCTCCCAGATATGTTCTGCAGGCACATGCAGACAGACTGCATTTAGAGAAACTGAGGTTATAAAATGGAGAGAGAGAAAGATGGGAAGGGGAGGGAACAGTGATGTCTAAGCCCCCATCTCCCATCTCCAGCTATCCTGAGGGCAGCTGTACCCCTGCCCTGAAGGACATTTTATCACATGAACTCTTTCCCCCTTAAGGCAATTTGAGTTGGAGTTCTATCATTTGCAATCAAAAGATTTCAATGAATTCAGAAAACTGTATGGTGTGTTACTTTGATGACATATATGGACTTCTTTGTTTATTCAATCAGTTATTGTCTAAATGTAGACAGTTTTCTATCAATTTCCTCTGGCAACTAGTAGCAGAGAATTCTTCCAGATACCACCTCTACCTTCTTCCAGCTACCTATAACCCAGGAACTCGGCCCAGGTGCTCTGGCCACCAACCATTCTCTCTCTGTCTCTCACTCTTGTTCTCTTGCTCTCTGTGTGTGTGTGTGTGTGTGTGTGTGTTGAAGGTGATGGGGCTGGTGTGTATGTGTGTGTGGTGGTGGGGTTCAGAGCCAGGGAAGAGCCAGAGCCTGGGGAAGCTCAGTGGCTACACACACACACACACACACACACACACACACACACACACACACTCCACTGGGGTGGCGGCAGCTCACGCAGAGGAGATGCCTGGAGCTCCAACAAGTGAGAGCCCTGTTCCCTCCAAGTGGATCCAGCATGCGTCCTCATCAAGGTGAGCTTATCATGGCTTCCCCTCGTACTCCCTGGGCACTGAGACACCCATCTTCCAGCTGAAAACACAGACTCAGAGAGGTTCAGATGCCCCGCATCACAGAGCTACCAGGAGGTGGAGCTGGAAACAGAGCCCAGGTTTCCCAATTTGTGTCCAAGGTTATTCCTTCTAGAGATTATGAGGTTCGTAGGAGAGGATGGAGGGAGAAGACCTACACACAGGCGGCACCCGTTCTGCTTGTATTGCTGAGCAACCGCAGGCAATTACCCAATCTCTCTGAGCCTCAGCTTTGACCTCTTTGGAGCATGTGAAAGTGCTGGGTCAGTACCTGGCACAGGTTAACTATTACTATTTATACATGATGAAGAACAGATTAGTGGGATGGACGAGGCAGTGAGGAAGGAGGGCTGGGAGGGACTAAGAAGGGGCAGCATGAGGGGGCTTCTCCGTTATGAGGGGGAATTCTGCATCTTGACTTTGATGGTGGCATTACTAATCTACAGGTGTGATAAAATGCCAGAGGGCTATATCAGAAACATGCCCCGAAGACCAGCGCATGCACACACTGGTGAAATCTGAGTTAAGGTCTCTAATCAAGTTCATCATATTGTGCCCACCAATGTCCTGGTTCTGATAATGTACATAATTATGTCAGATTTCACCGTTGGAGCGAGCTGAGTGATGGGTAAATGGGACCGTTCTATGATTTTTGCAACTTCTTGTGAGTTTATACCTATCTCAAAATAAAATTGTTTTCAAAGAAATCTAGGCAAAAAAAGGGGGGAGGGAACCTCAGAGGTACAAATAGTGCCTGCGACTTTGCTCTTGTAGATATCATGCAATGTAATGTTCACTCATCCTTACTTTCAAATTACAGTAGTTGATAGAACTAATAGTTGGTAAGCGCTTATGATTTAATACATTCAGAAGGAAGCACATGTATTTCTGTATCTCAAACTTGATTTTAGATATCTTGATAATTGTATTGCAATATAATCAATTTCCTTTGCAATCGTCTGGTTTTATATTATGCATTAGGAAAACATGGTTCTAGGAAGGGGTCCTTCAGCTTCCAACAGCATGGAAAAGATTAAGAACCTTCCCTGGGATGTGGACTGTAGGCTGACCACCATGGTCCAGATGAGGAAACTGAGGCCCAGATGGGAGGTCTAACGACACCTCAAGGTCTCTGATTTTCAGACTCACTTGGAAGGAAGTATCTCTTCTAAGAGAAAAAGAGAGCTCCTCTCTTCATTGCCACCGGCCACCTCTGGGTGAGTGTTTACTCTGCCAGGTGGAGTCCATCTGGGTCCACTCTGGGGCCGCACAGTGGCCTTTGAGACAGAGAACAATGCCACATTGTGGCCCTGGCTTCAGATGAAAGAGAAACTTGGCCTGATTGCCCAGGCAGCAGTGACTGTCCTCTTAATATTAATACAAGGAGGGTGTGCCCCTCGCCCACACCCTCGCCACTTTCACCGTTGTGGCAGTTGTGTAGAATGTGATCCCACTGCCGTCTAATGCATGGTCAAAGGCCAGCATGCCGGGCACTTTTATTGTCAGCTGCCTCAGTAATCTTTAACCTCCCACTGGCCAAAGGGCTGAAACCCAGAAAGACAAAACAAACATGGGTTGGGCACCAGAGTAGAATGACTCAAGAGAATCAGGACTGGAGGAAGACCGTCCACCCCCCTGGCCATGCCCTCCCAACACCCCCAAGCCATAGAGCTGGTCTGAATGCTGGGGGACAAATGGTGAGACCCACCCCTGGGATGCCATTGACATCTGTCCCTTGCTGGTGGTGGAACGCAGGACCCTGGGGAATGGCTATTAGCTTGTCACTCAGGTTCAGGGAATGAAGGCAAATGCCACACTGGCCATGATCACCCCTGACCTGTGGCTGAGATGCAAGGCTAGCTGGGCGCACTCCAGGAGTAACACTCCTGCTGGGGTCAGTCAAGAGGGTAGAGGGGCAGGGTGAGCAGTGGGATGGGTGGGCATCAGACAGGCCCAGCTGATCGGGCTCCACCATTCATCTGACCATCCTCCTGGAGCCTCAGTTTCCTCCCTGTGAAATGGGACCTCTAACATCTCCTCTCAGCTTCAGTACCAGCTGCTGCCATTGCTGAGCATTTGCTATGACCAAGGACACACTTTGCTCCAATTCTCACAACACCCAAAAAGTGGGCTTCACTGTCTCCATTTTGCAAACTGGCAAGTCTGGTGCAGAGAGCAGACTTGCCCAATGGTGATGCCAAGAGCTGAACCCAAGTCTCCATGACCACAAAGCTGTCCTCTTTCCACTTTACTGCACAAGGCAAGCCCTTCCAGCAAACACGCACTGAGCCTTCTCAAGGTGGCTGTGAGGTAGGGATCATGGCTTCACTTGGAGGATGACAGTGAGGTTCAGCCCCCGTGCAAGTGAACAGGGGGTTCTGGTTGAAGCCTGGGTCATTTGATTCCATGTCCTTTTTACTTCCTATCAAACTGAGGAGGGCTGCCCACACCCATAGGCAACTATCATCACCAACATGAGAAGGTTTAGACACAGAGCCAGGGTCTGAGTCCATTTTAAGGTGCAAAGATGGAGACCTGGGACTCCCTAATGGGCCCTGGTAACAGGGGAGTGCCTGTCCCAGTCAGCCACCTCACTCTTTGATCAGACCCACTGTCACTGTGCAGGGGAAGGACAGACAAGGAGATCCGGGCTGAATTTAACCCCATCACCACCCCCAAGGGGTAGAGGCTACAGACAGGTGGAAAATACACCAAGAGATAGGATGTTATTAGTCTGGATTGGATTTCTTAATCCCTTTCCTTTTTCAAACCTGGGCAGCTCTGGGTCTCTGCTGTGCTGGCAGAATCCCCCCCCCCTCCCCACACCATCCAGGGCTGGGGCCCCAGCCAAGCCCTCACAAGCCCTGCTAATAAAGTTACCTTCTGTGCCTGGGGCAGAAGGTCAGGAAAAGCCAGCAGCAATTTGAGGAAGGTTATGGTCTTGGGATCTGCACAAGGGTGGGGCTTGGGGAGGGAGAAAGATAGGAGTGGGCAATAAAAGATAGGCAGAAAGAGACAGTGGGGGGGGGTACTGGTACAGGAGTGTGGCCCCTAGCGGTACCATCTCTTTATGACCCATACAGGGCACATAAACAGGCATCAACAACAGCCTTACCTTCCCCCTCCAATCTAAATGATCATCCAGAGTCCACTACTGGCCTCGGAAACATACCTGTGCTGGTCACACAGTGGGTGCTGAGCCACAGGGGACAGGGAAGCCCAGGATGGAGGGGCTCTGCTTGACTCTGCCCACAGGCTGGAAGGCTCTGGGCTGCTCCCCTCCCCTCCCAGGGCCTCACAACCTGTGGATGCTGAGTGAGGGGACCTGGATGTTTCCGGTGGAACGTAGTCTCTTGTAGGCCAAGGTAGCCCCTGTGTGGGCGGTGGGCACCGTGGGGTGAGGAACTTACCCCTTTGGATGGTGCAGACTGTCAGGGGTCATCCTTTGTGGCTGGACTGCAAGGATCATGCTGGAAAGGGAGACTGATGCCTACGGTGTGACCGGCACTTCATGCATTTTGTGAATCGCCAACTCGGCGAATCTGCAGGATCTCCACACCCACCTCAGAGCCGCCCCCCCCCCCCACCGCCTCTCTAAAACATGGGGAATGCCATGGATGTGGAATGAGCCTTTTCCTGATGCCCTGGCCACCAGAGATAGGTGACTGACTCTGCCCACCGTTCCCCAGGGTGCCACCCCTTGTCCACCCCATGAGTCACTTTCTGTCCTCCTCTGTCCTGCTCTGCGGCCCAGGGACCAGCAGCGAGCACTTCCTGGGTGGCTCTGCCCTCTGACTTCCTGTTGGGGCCAGCCAACAGGAAGCCCCCCCTGGGGATGAGATGGTGGTCGTGGTTGAGGTCGGGGTATTCTTGGCTTCCTTCGCTTTGTCCTCACATGACTGCAGCTTTGTCAGGTGACACCCACCCCACCCCCAGCGCCCAGGTGGGGCTCCCAGCCTCCTGCTGCTGCTGGCCCCTTGTTGGTTCCTTTAAGCTGGTTCACACCTCTGTAGAGCGTCTCGGTGTAACTCTCCCTTCCTGCATGCAGTTCTGCTTCCTGCAGGACCTCAGCTGGATGAGAACCAAAGCCCACCCTCAGGGAGGCCGAGAGGCTGGTGGCTGCCCCGTTGTCCTTGACCATCACCCCCAGGCCACAACAGGTGGTGACCTTGTCAGTCGTCTGTCGGAGCAGTGGGTTGGCTGCTCCGTGGCAGCCCACCTTTTCGGGGAGGGAAGAGAGAACAAGAGGGGACCGTGGCAGGCGGGAGAAAGCAGAGGGAGCACCGTCTGGCGTGACAGGGCATGCGTGCATCTCCCTAAGACCAAGAGGACGCAGAGCAAGGTGATGAGGCCTGGGCTCACCCAAGGTGGCTCACAGCCACCTTGGAGGAGAGGGCATGCTTGCAGGCCACGGGGGCCTGGCTGCGTTGGACAAGGCTGAATAGAGCCAGCCTGCCCGGCCAGCAATTGTGCAGCGGGACAGCCCCTGGCAACCGCACCCTTCATGACAGCCAGTGTCTGGACGGCGCCAGCCGCCCAGGGACCAAGGGGTCAGGGGTTAAAAGAGGGCAGGGGAGATGTGACACTGTCCAGATGGGGCCAGAGAGTGGAGAAAAGGAAAGCCATTTTGTGTTTGGGCCCTACCCAGCAGGGGCTGGTGGGTAACGCTTGGAAGGCCCCCGACCCTCAGGTTTGAAAAACCTAAGCTCAAAGGATCCCGACCAGTGAAGTTGGAATAGAAGAATGACTGGGCACCTCCACCTGCCCCCCTTCCCCTCTGTGTTCAGTCCCCTCCTGTGGCCACACTGTCCTGTGCCGAAGCGGCCACCTTGGAGCCACCTCGGGCCACCTCGGTGCCACTGGTGTGTGAGCCCGCCGAGTATCGCCGTCTTGGGGCTGGGGTGGAGCCCACAGGAGGGAGGGCGCCATGCAGGGTGCGGAGTTTGAACTTGAACGTCAGAAGACTTGGGGGATGAAGTAGCCGTGTACCTGTCTCCATTTCTTAAGCATCTAATACACACTTACCGTATACCAAACACTGCCAAGCTGCCGAGCCCTTCCACACACGCTGCCGCAGTCAGCTCGCCAGCTGACCCGGCGCCTCCCCTCGCTGGGTGGCCGCATGTCTCTGAGCCTCCCTGTCCTCGTCTTAGACTGAGCATGAGGGACCCCAGTGTCTGGAGTGCTTTGGAGATGGAGTGTCTGTGAACGTCTGTCTCCTCTGACGGACCGTGGGCCCCGCTCCGTGGATAAGGCCTGACACGGGGCACGGGGCGGCTGTGGGAAGTGTTTTCTGGGATAATGAATACAGTTATTTTGCTTCTTTAATCCATAATTTGGGGGGTTATGATTTTCAAATAAGAGATTAAGCCCGCACACAGGTGATTTGCACTTTATGGTAACCCCAAATACAAGGATTTGCTGCAGCATGATATGGCAACATGAATGAAGTCTGAGCGAATGGACAAAACTGGAATTAAGGTAAACTCCCCCCTCTCCCCCCACCCCCCGCCCCATTTAAAAGCTCGTCAAGGAATCAGGGAATTTCAGTGTGGATGGGGCAGAGGGCCCTGTAAATGTGTTTGTTGCTCTTGCCACAAGGGGGCGCCACTCTAGCAGGTACACCCTTGTCCCCGAATCTGGTCCCAGCTGCCCTGCTGGTTGGGAGGTCTGAGGACTGGCCACCTGTGCAGAGAGCAGGTGGGTGGTGTGAGGGACCGAGGTGGGTGGGAGGCCCACCTGGAGGAGCTCCACGAGGACGCCCCCCATGGGCTGGTTAGGACAGACTGGGAGGCAGACGGGCAGAAAATGGTCAGCCCCAGGGAGGTCAGGAGGCTTCTCAGGAGCCCAGGGAGGCCAAGGTCAGAGGCCTGGGACAGCTGCAGGGTGTGGTCTGCAGGCTGTCACATGAGCCCCAGCAGAGGAGCACCCCCCCAGTGCTGGGCAATTGTGGGGGGCCACAGAAGGGTGACCTTCCGGAGTCAGAGCCTGCACCGGCTGGCTGACCACACAGATGGGCGGCCAGGCCAGGCCAGGCCTTTGTGGAGGGTGAGAAAACACTCCTGAGCTGAGCTGGCTTCTCACCTCCGCCCACCCATGTGGCCTCGCTTCCACTTCCTCCCTGGACTGTCCTCAGGTGTCCGGGCCTGGCAGGTCATTCTGCTGGTGTCCCTAGGGGGACATCCAGGAGCAAGGACATGCTTTGCCTGACCAGACATGCCAGGGGGCACCTCACCCAGGCACACCTTCCCTGTTCCACCTGTCAGGGCTCAAGGTGAGGTCACGTTGCAAGTTTCGGATGCGAACCCCCTGCCTGCCCAGAGTGAGGAGGCTTCTTGGCTGCCCTGGGCCGTCTGCCATGGCAATGCTGAGACCCCAGCCAGCTCCTCGGGTGTTCCTGTCCTGCTTCTGGCCCCTCTTCTTGGGAGACAGGCCAGAGTACCTGAGGGTCAGCCAGCTGAGGACACCTGGTTCTCCTCAGCCCTTGTGGATACTACAGCCACGGGGCACTGCCACCAAACCACAGGTGACCAGCTGCCTACATGACATCCTCACCCACTCACAGGTGATCAGCAGATTATAGGGCACAAGCCCAACACTAAGCCCTGAGCATATGGCCAAGCGCCTGGGGAGTGTCTACACACTCCCAGTCCGTGCCCAGACACACTCTGATGTGTCTGCCCAACCTTGACCTTTTGTGCATCTGTTCATGGACCACTGCTCATTGAGGGCACTCTTGTCCACATGCACACACACATTCAGACAAGCGTGCACTCACACACACACTCAGACATGCATGCACACACACACTGAGGC